TTTTTTTTTTTTTTTTTTTTTTGAATGGGCACTGCTTTGGGGCTACAAGAGGATAAAAAGTACTGGTGTCATTACTACCCAAATGGTCTCTGTAAAGTAGTCAGGGATCCAGGTGTGTGTGTGAGAGAGAGGGTAGAGAGAGATGGGGATGGATGGGCAGGAATAATTTTAGATAATGTCCACTGATTCACAGTTCTGTAATTCAAGAAGGGATAATGGTAGGAAGTGCTTAAAGGCTTTTGAGACTGTAAAAAGTATTATATTATTATCAGCAGTAACTTTGATTGAATCCTTGTTACTTATTCCAGTGCTGGGGACTAGAAGATCATTGCATAGAGGCTGAAGTAGTCCTTGACATTTTTTCTTCTTCTCTGCTTGGCTAAGTGGTAGTTATCTCACATTCCACCTAAATATAATCATCTTCTAAATAGTAACATTTGAAAGGGGGCACCAAGTAGGATGGTCCTCTGGGACTAGAGCAGGATTGTCCCTAGGAAGGTTGTTGAGTGGGCCAGAGTCCCTTATTTTTTTCTTGGGGACTTGGATTTCAAACTTGAAACCACAACTTTCAGGTAATGAAAAAGGAAGAGGTTTCTCTAACATTCAAGCTGATAATGGCAGATTCCCAGAACAGGATTCTTTCTAATTCATTCTAAGATATTTTTGAGATGGCCTCGGCAGACAAATTATGTACATTATCTTCTGGATATAGTATGTTTTTTCTTTTATTTATCACTGATTAGTCTTTTTTTTTTTCCCTTTTTGTCTTTTTTACTGACCGGCCACGGGATCACAACCCTCGGTGTTGCGCCCGCGGGAACTGGTCTCCACATGGGATCCGAACCCTTGGCGGGAGCGCCGCCGCGCTCCCAAGCAGCGCACTCTCCAGTGTGCCACCGGGCCGGCCCATCACTGATTAGTCTTGAGCCAACATATGTAGTCTTTCTTGGGAAAAATATTTTCACCAAAACATCCTAAAATATAGGCAATAAGAAAAGGATGAAAATATATAAACCTAATAGTTTAAAAAGTGACCTGTAAGTACATATTTATATATGTGTGTGTGAATGCACATATATGTATTTTTACATATGTGTATATATATTTTTATGCTAGTCAAGTAGAGCTTGGACCAGCATAGGACTATTTAATGGTATAAAATATAAAATTTTTTTTGTAGCTTTATTTATTTATTTTTTATTTTAATTTCTCAATATACATTGTAGTTGGTTTTCGTGTATCTTTACCCATTCCTCTTTAATTGATCAGAACGTTGTTACTTTTCTTGTGCAGGAGACATGCAGTTCTGGGTGTCATCAGTGTCCAAACTTTCTGACTCCTGGCAGCCACGCTCCCTGGATATTGAGGTGGCGGCCTATGCACTGCTCTCGCACTTCCTGCAGCTGCAGGTTTCTGAGGGAATCCCGATTATGAGGTGGCTGAGCAGGCAAAGAAATAGCTTGGGAGGTTTTGCATCTACCCAGGTGAGAGGTGACAGTTTATTTATTTACTTTTTAAGGCTAGTCAAGTGAAGCAATGGGAGTGGAGAAGAACAAAGAAATCTGTAACTGGTTGTGATCAGTTAGTTGGAACCACCGCTGCACTCAGACCTGCCTTCCTTTAAACTGTATATATACTTTTAGGAAGTTTGAGGGGTCTTCAAAAAGTTTATGGAAGGATTTGTATTATCTTTTAATTCAATTTTTCCATGAAGTCTTTGAAGTACCCTTGTATGTGGTTGCATTTTTCATGACTTTTTAATAAAATTTCTTGGCAGTCTAAAAGTTTAGTAACTTAAGGTAAAGGTTTAAGTCACTATCTTATTTTTTATTTATTTTAAATTTTTTAATTAATTTTAATGTCAATTGCATTTTTCAAAGGAAGACATAGAAATGGTCAACAGATACATGAAAAAATGCTCAACATCACTAGTCATCAGGGAAATGCAAATTAAAACTACATTGAGATACCACCTCACCCCAGTTAGACTGGCTGTAATCAAAAAGACGGTGAATAACAAATTTTGGTGAGGATGTAGAGAGAAGGGAACACTACTGCATTGTTGGTGGGACTGTAAATTAGTACAACTGTTATGGAAAACAGTATGGAGGTTTCTCAAACAAGTACAGATAGATCTTCCATACGATCCAGCAATCCCTCTTCTGGGTATATACCCAGAGGAATGGAAATCTGCATGTCGAAGGGATACATGCACTCCCATCTTCATTGCAGCTCTGTTTACAATAGCAAAGATATGGACCCAACTCAAATGTCCATTGATGGGTGATTGGGTAAGGAAACTGTGGTATATATACACCATAGAATACTACTCTGCCATAAAAAAGAATGAAATACTCCCTTTTGCAACAACATGGATGAACCTGGAGAAACTTATGTTGAGTGAAATAAGCAAAGCACAGAGGGATAATTACCTCATGTGCTCACTCATATGTGGGAGCTAAGAGAGAAAGAAGGAAGGAAAGAAAGACCACAGTAGTGCATTGTCTTACAGAGGGAGGGAATATTCCTAGGGCTACAAAGTGGAGTGGGGGGAAAAGGGGGATGGGGGGAGGTTGGGGGATAATTGGGTGGGGGACACAGGGTACAAAAGTAATCTCCGGTAATGGGTATGCTGTCCGTATGAATCTGGCCCTCACATCATGGGCACAAGGGGTGACAATTAGCTTTGCATCTCATGAATATTCATAATAAAAAATAAAAAAAAAGAAAAAAGAAGAGCAACTGAGAAGCTTAGTTCTCTCTTGCTCAGATATTTTACCATGTGATGCCCTACATCACTGTAGAGTCACCACCACCAAAGTCCTCACCAGATCTGTTTCCTGGACTTTGTACTTCTCAGCTTCCAAAACTGTAAGAAATAAATTCTGTTTCTTTATTAAAAAAAAAAAAAAACTTTTCCTTATTCACATTAACACTGCATTTTCCTGCTCAGTAAAAGAAAAAAATAAAAAATTTTTTAATGTCAATTGATAAGTAACAAACTTAACACAAAGATTAACATCCTCAATGAAAAAAGAACTCTTAAAAATGAATTAGAAAAATCTAAGCAGAAACTTGGTGAAGGATGGGGCCGGCACTTGGCTCACTCGGGAGAGTGTGGTGCTGATAACACCAAGGCCACGGGTTTGGATCCCTATGTAGGGATGGCTGGTTAGCTCACTTGGGAGAGTGTGGTGCTGACAACACCAAGTCAAGGGTTAAGATCCCCTTACCAGTCATCTTTTTTTTTTTCTTTTTTTTTTTGTCTTTTTCCGTGTCCGGCCACGGATTGCAACCCTCAGTGTTGCCCCCGTACCGGACCAGGGACCGGCAACGGGATTGCAACCCTCGGTGTTGCTCCCGCGCCTCGCTCAGCCAGTGAGCGGGAACCGGTCTGTATGTGGGATCTGAACCCTTGGGTGGGAGCACCGCTGCGCTTCCCAAGTGGCGCAAGTGCGCCACCGGGCCGGCCCACCAGTCATCTTTAAAAAAAAAAAAAAAAAAAGAAACTCAGTGAAGGACATGAGCAGATAAGTCACACACCCCATAGAAACACTCATGTCTAATAAGTGCACTCTAAGCTGTTGTTGCAGTGGTGGAGGGTGGATATAGGACTAAGGCCCTTGGCCCCCCATTTCAGGGTGCTGGGGGCTTTTGATTCAGGGGGTTTTGGTTCTAGCTCCATGGTCAGCCTGGTTGTGGATGATGGTGGGCAGAGCCGAGGCCATGGCTGAGGCCTGTGGCTCCCTTCATGGTCTTCAGAGCCCCAGGGGTGAATGGCTCTGGCTCCTGCATGGTCATGAAGCCTGGTTCTAAGTCACTATATTTAATTTTTTTCTCATCATTGATATAAGCTTCCTCTCTGGTATTTATATAGAATAAATCAGTCCCCATCTATATTAGCCAGTTTTCATCTGTGATAATTGATGTAAAACTAGATGCCCAGTTCCCTTCAGCAAATGTTTTCTGAGCCTCTCCTGTACGTTAGGCTGAGAAGATTCAAATATGAGTCAGGGAGTGTTTTATTCCTAAGGAAGGAGGATGAATGTACAGCAGGCTTCCTAAACATTACTAAATGTACTCTCTGGAGACCTTGATATATACTTATATGCACACATGTTTTTCTTTTTTCAACAGGATACCATTGTGGCCTTAAAAGCCCTGTCGGAATTTGCAGCCCTAATGAATACAGAAAGGACACATATCCAAGTGACTGTGATAGGGCCCAGCTCGCCACAACCTGTCACGTTTCTGATTGACACACACAACCGCTTGCTCCTTCAGACAGCTGAGGTGTGGACAAGGGGTGGTTATTTAAAAATCTGTGTGGATAATTCTTTATGCTGGAATACTGCTTTATTTCTAATCTGTTGATTTCAACAAAAACTTGTTTCCAGAGTCCTATAGAGAGATGGGGAAGTGATACCCCATTTGGTTGAATTTGATGAGCTCTGGAAGGGTGGAGGAGATGGGAACTTTGGGAAAATTGGTGGGAAAGGAATGGGCACCATCGAGCTCCTGCTCTTCACAGGCACTGCGCTAGATTACACACGCTACTGCACTGACTTCTCACACCAACTCTAAGTCATGTTGTATACAATAAACATACAGTTAAAAAAAATGGTTAGCAAGCATATTTCGTACTCCCCCAATTTTTTTTTATGTGACTGTAAGTAAAAAGTTCAGCCAAAAGTTAAACAATAATTGCAAAATAAAAGAAGTCAATACTTTAATCTCCATTGTGTAGTGGTGAAACTGAGGCTGAGAGAGGTTAAGTAACTTGCTCAAAATCATGTTGCTAGTAATAACAGAGCTGGGATTTGAACCCATGATTTTTAAGACCATGTTCTTTTCAGCTGCATCCTCTTCACACATCCTTGTCAGAGAATTGATAGAACCAGTAGCAGAATTCCTGCTTTAAAATGGATTAAAGGAATATGCTATTGTTACGATATGTTATATATTATATTATATAGCATATTACATAATATGTTATTTCCTTGGTTAAGGAAAGTTAACCAAGTTAAGGAAATTGAGGACAGTGGATGAAGGTGATAACTTCAAGGCTGGACCCTGGGGAAGAGGGCTGATGGCAAAGGAGAAGAAGGAATAAAGTTAGGCACAGTCAGTGATGACGTGTCATTGTGTTCCCTGGAAGGCTGCACGTTAGGCCCTGACTAAGGGAGGTTACAGTAAGGAAGATGACTTTTGTTTCTTGTCTTCCATGCTTTAATGCCAACAGAAGGACAGACCTGGCACAGCACTAACGTGCCCCCTCCCAAAGGGCAGATGTGAGGGAGCTTGGAGGGTGAGCCCTTCCTCTGCCTTCACCTCGCTTACCTGGCTGACCCGTAGCTTTTGACATGCGAGAACATGCAAAGCTCTTAGTGCTTTCCAGTGATTGCTTCCACTCTCCAGAAGGGATAACACTGATCTCTTGTGCTACTCGGAAGGATCTGGATATGGAAAATTAATCTCATTTTCTCTTTTTCTTTCTTTTTTAACCTTTATTCAGCTTGCTGTGGTAAAGCCAACTGTAGTTAATATTTCTGCAAATGGTTTTGGATTTGCTATTTGTCAGGTATGTAATAACTTTTTTTTAAAGTTAAATATGACTTTTTATAACGATTCCTTGATTTGGGGCATTGCCAAATCTTTGACTTACATAAGTTGAATAAAATTCTTAATGGGGGGTGGGGGAAAGGGAAAAAAATTCTTAATGATTTACTTCTATAACTTAGGCAAGGTACATTACTCTCCTTAATAAAAAGTATTAGAAATGTTACCAGCTAATGAGTAGACAACAGTTATATGGATTGATAATCTATTTTAAAAAATATTTCTTGGGATTATTTGCTTTTTGAAGTGAGAGTTAAAATCCTCCAGTATGATTCATGATTCATGTGAATTGTTGGGCAGTCCCACCTTTTTTGTGTGAAAATACAGTTCAAAAATTGTAATGCTGATAGAGTTTCTACTATGACCTAATAAACTAATATACATTTTACTTAAAGCTTCTTAATGTTAATCTATGAATATAAAGGTCAACATGGTGTCACAAGTTGTTGACATGAAGATAGGAAATGTGTCCCTTTAATGTAAAACCTTGTATAATAGTAAGTATAACAATTAGAACATAATTATGTTCAATGCTCTGGTAGAGGAAGAAAATTCAAAGAAATCTCCTTTTTTATGGTGCAGTAGGAGCCACAATAAAATGGAAGTAGTATGAAAATATTGAATGGAATAATTATTACAGTAAATAATACATGAAGATCTTGGACTTTAAAATCATCTTGTTGCAAACCCCAAATAATGTGATAGGACCAGAAATGAATATGTGTTTGGGTAGAAAAAAGTGTTTCAACTTTTTGAGAACGTTATTATAGAGAAAAACTACTTTTTCAAAAACTGGTGCAATTATTATAATCAAGAGAACACGTACCCTTTGTAAGTGGGGCAGATTTAACTTGCTAAGCAGGTATAATTTGGAAACTTTCAAATCTAAGATTATTTTTCATGATACTCAAAACAGAGTAAATGTTTTTTAAAAATCAAGGAAAAATGATCACAGTGAAAAGGAATGGCATTCAATGAAAAGTATAGAAAAAGAAAGTAGGTAATTTGTAGTCATCTTTACTAACAAAGACCATGGGAAAATTCTCATTCCTGACCTGTCTTTCTATACAAAGAGCAAATCCAAAAGTAGATATGCAATGTATTTTAGATACAATTGAAAAATTATGTAAACTTAAATCACCAAGTTGGTTGAATTCTTTTTTTTCTTTTGGTGGCTAGCCAGTATGAGGATCTGAACTCTTGACCTTGGTGTTATAACTCCACTGTCTAAACAACTGAGCTAACCAGCCAGCCCTGAAAGAATTCATTTTTGATAAACCAAATGTAGATAACTAATTGAGACCAAAAGATTTTTACTTGAGGTTTGAAGGACACATTGGTGAATGTGTGTGGCTATTGGTCAGAATGTTCACCAACCCCATGACTGTATCAAATGCAGAAAACAGAAGGTAGGTACCAATAGGCACTTCTCACGGTGGAGGAAAAAATTCAAAAAAGTTGGTCACCCAGAAATGGGTGTTGAGATTTTCTTCAGTTGATATTTCTATAAATGCTCTGGGAAAAGGAGAGCAAAGAAAACTCTCAGGTTTGCAGTAAATATTAACCTCTTTTGGGTAATAAAATGCTAAATTGTTGGAAAAAACTGCAAGATCTCTTAAAGTTCCCTGAGTGAGCATTTGAGCTTTACCACAGGCCAAATATAAACACTAGTACATAGTTATAGATGGATATTAATTATGACTCACAGGCAAATCCACTAGTCCTTGTTTGTTTCCTGATGACATTCTTGCATGCCACTGGAAAGGGGATGATGAAAATAACAGAGACCATCTCTCCAATTGTATGAAACTTTTCACCTGCTCCAGGAATACTGTATAATTTTAACTGTTGTAGTTTAAGAAAGACTTGGAGACTGTCCAGCATGAGATAACCAGAACGGTCAAGGGGGTGAAGGGTTATGAGTTTGAGTTACAGCAGAATAAAAAGATTGGAACTCTTAGATTTGAAAGGTGAAGCCATAGAGAGAGGATTTTTTAAAGTATGTAAATTAAAAAAAAAACAACAAAAAAACCCCAATAAAGTATGTAAATTCACAAAGGGTATTAGATATTTAGTTCCAAGGAGTGCGTGTGTGTGTGTGTGTATGTGTTTTAAGTATAAGTAAAATAAAATACAATATCACCTAGCAATAGTAAGCGTTATGAACCTTGGTATCAAAAAAAAAAGTGGATGAGGTAAAACATTTAAATAGATTCTAATCCATCCTGTCGTGAGGCTGGTGTAGAAAATTTTGAGTACATTCCTAAGCTTCTGAATTTAGGACCCCCTGAGAAAGACGCAGATCCTCAAGTCACCCCAGTGTCCCCACGGCACTTTTAACATCAGTGATGGGCACAGAGTATATGCTGGAAAAGACCCAGATGACCTGAAGTCCATCATTTATTTTATCATCTTTAAAAAATGTTGTATGATCAGACAGAATCCTCAGCAGTTGAACAGGTTTCTGTTCAGTGGAAGCTCTTAGGTTTGATTTACCTTCCTGAGAGTTTCTAAGGTTCTACTTCATGGAAAATGACTCCATTTGGGCAGCAGAGCTTAGAAATTAGTGATTACTCTCAAGAAAGCTGGCAGTAGCTTCATTTTTTCCCTCAAGGGAGTGTTTCCATTCTCTGAAAAAACAATATCCCATGAGTAATATCCACAGTGTTCTATGATACTTATTTTGGAATATTACCTAACAGTTTTCTCAATTTTTAAAGTAATTTTTATAAACTTTTATAATATTTGTTAATAATGATATTTTGTTAGCCAGTAAAACTCATTTTTTTTTCTAATTGGGCTTATTCCAGAGAGAATCATTACCTAATACTTAGAATGTATAATGATGGTAATTTATTGCTAATTTATTATGTATACTAATTTGTTATTTATTGCAGCTCAATGTTATTTATAATGTGAAAGATTCAGGGTTTTCTAGAAGACGAAGATCTACTCAGAATCAAGAAGCCTTTGATTTAGATGTTGCTGTAAAAGATGATGAAGCCGATATCAATCACGTGAATCTGAATGTATGTACAAGGTAAGGATCTGTTTAGGTCCCTCTTCTCCCTTCTCTTTTTTTAAAAAAATTGATTTGAAGATTTAATTACATATGGTTGAATATATCAATGTAAGGAGCTATATTTAACAAATAATTCAGTTACACATGACACTTCAGGTTATAAACTGGAAATATTACTAATTATATTTAAATGTTTCTTAGATGTGTCAAAAAATTTACAAGTATTCCTTCTATTTATAACAAATTTGAAAAAGGACAATATTTATAAATTAATAAAAACCAGGTCTAATTTAGGAGCACTTTAAATTAGCCAATCATATTTAATATTCCAAAAATTGTTATTTTTTCATTTCATTATTGTTTTTAATTGACACAATAATGGTATGTATTTATTGGGTACAGTGTGATATTTTGATACCTGTATACAATGTGTAATGACCAAATCAGGGTAATTAGCATATATATCACCTGAAACATTTATCATTTCTTTGTGTTGGGAATATTGAAAATCCTCTATTCTGACTGTTTGAAAATATACAATAAGTTGTTGTTAATTATAGTCAAACAATAGTGCTATAGAATACTAGGACTTATTGATCATTTCTTGTTGTGAATTATTTTTCTGTTTAAGTAATTATTCTAGGTTCATAATTTGACCTTAATTGTGACACTTCTAACCCAAAACTTTATGAGAGCACACAAATTCAATAAAAAGAATGTTTTTTTTTTATAGATAAAGATACACTGAAAATATTCTTTTTTTTTTTGTCTTTTTCGTGACCGGTAAGGGGATCGCAACCCTTGGTGTGGTGTCGCCCACACCGCGCTCAGCCAGTGAGCGCACCGACCAGTCCTATATAGGATCCGAACCCGCGGCGGGAGCGTTGCTGCGCTCCCAGCGCTGCACTCTCCTCAGTGCGCCACGTGGCCGACCCCACTGAAAATATTCTAATTTAGAAGGTTCTCATCTTGCATAATTAGGCACTATTAGCTAAAAGACTTATTAAGGTGATTGTTAAATTGGTTTGTGTCCAAAGCATCTGAGAAGCTCAGGTTATAGGGAAAAAGGTTCTACCTCAAACCTACTGACTTCACAGTAGCTCTGTCAAGCTGCAGCTTCTTGGTCATTCTAATGGACACACAAATTTGGAAACAACTCCATGAGAAAGTTCGTGAATCAAGAGGCTTTACAAGATTTCTTCCTTGTCACTCTATCCTCCTGCATCTGCGTTATTTGGTGTTGAGCTGGGAGTTACTATACAGATGCACTGACATTGAGGAGCTGCTGTCTGCTCTTTTTAAATATCCCACAGCATTCTCATTGAATTTAGCTGCTTGTTGGACTAGAAGTCACTGAAGTGGTCGTGAGCTAACAGGTGCTCGTCAAGGTCATCTCTGGGTGTTTATCCAGGTGGTCAACCTTCTTAGCCTTTGCCTGGACCCAATCTCTTCCATTACTGCTACCATCTGTACTATCTTGTTCATGATTTTTGTGTAAAATGTCACACGTTTGCCCCCTTCCTCACCTTCTTGGGCATTTTGGACCAACAGCAGGAGAATATCAAAATCTCTGTAGTGGTTCCCTTTTCAGCTGAGAAACAAGTAGGACTACAGTAACTTTTAACTAAGCTTGCAATTGTCTCTGTTCCAGAATAACAATATCAAATTATTATAATTATTGTAAACAAAAAACAAACTACATTTACCACAGACTTACATGCCAGGCATTGTACTAAACACTTTTACATGCTTCTCATTTAATTCTTACAGTAACTCTGTAAAGTGCTTTTCTCATTCATTCATTCACTCAGTAAACATTGTTTGAGTCTCCACTACGTGCCAGGCACAGAGTCAGGTGTGAGAATGCAATAGTGAGCCAAAAAAGAGATAGGCTATGCCTTCATGGAACTTACTGTTTGGAGGGGGAGACAGAAATTAACAAAAAATCCCCTAAGCAAGTCTAAAATTCCAGTTTTGAAAAGGGCAAAGAAGAACCATCTGATGGAGCTATGAAAGGGGGATTTTTACCTCTTAGGGAGGTCAAGTGAGGAAACATGAGGAAAATAAGGTGGAACCAGGATTCAGACCATGAATCATGTGTAGGGGTTCCTGTGAGGATGTAGGATTCCAAATCTTAATTCAGCATCAGGTGGGCAACAGACTTTGGTTGTTAGGTAGAACCTGAAGAAGGGAAATGTTTTCATGTGAGAGTAGGAGTTCTCTAAAAAGGATTTAAGTGCTGCTGCTACTAGTTTTCTGAGAAAAATCTAGTAGGAAACACCAATAACATTTAAGTGATTTTTTTTTTTTTTAGTTTTTATTGAATCATAGTTGATTATACATATTTTGGGGGTTAAATGTTGACATATGTTGATCAAATCAATATTACTAGTATATATATATTGTTACAAATTATACTTATTTTTTATGCCCCTTGTCCAATCTCTCCCTATCCCTCTCTCCCTCCCCCCTCCCACCTCTCATTACCCTAGATTTCTTCTCTCCTTCTGAAAGAGTAATGGTTACTCTGTTGATTTGTTGCCTAGATGGTCTGTCCAATGCTGTGTTCAGGTCCCCCAGTATTATTGTAGAGCAGATGCTTCTTCTGTCACTCTGGAATGGGCTTTGTAGAGAGCGACATCCTCTTCTTTCCTTTGGTCTCTGCTGGTGACTCTCCTTGTGTCAATGCACTCCAGGGGCTGGTGGTCCATCTGCGTGGTGGTTGTGGCATCTAGCCACTTTCATGGCTGCTGCGCTTATTGTGGTGGTTGTGGTGGCCCACTCACATGGAGGTGATGTTTTGGCATGCTCCTTATTGCTGGCGGTGTGCCTGGTTGTGGGGGGAGGGTCTGATCCCTGACTCTATGCTTCAGAACCCTGGGCAGGGCCCTGAGGCACTGGTGGTGTGCCTGGTTGTGAGCTGGGGGGTCCGGTCCCTGACTCCATGCTTCAGGCCCCTGGGTGAAGTGAATTTTTGTAGTGGCACATTATAAAAACATTTTTTCAGACACTTTGTTCCCATTAACAGGGTCCAAGATTTTACTTTATACAGATTTTCTGTGTGGTGTGGAAGTTTAACAAATTCTATCCCTGGCTGGTAGAGAGACTATGTCAACAAAGTCATTTCTGATGATGTACTGAAAGTATAATCTGCATTGTACTTTTAAGTGTTTGAGCAGATTTTCTTTTTTTATCATCTGTAATGTTTGCTCACATAGTTTCAATGCAGTTATTAGTTTTCAATAACATCTGTGTTGGCTAAGCACATCGCCCAGTGGACAGTTCCAGTTGTTTTGGATTGCTGAGTCAGCTGAAGTGAACAGCCATACTGTATGGCTTTCCAATCAGTCATATTTGGCAGGCATTGGTTTACTGCTGTAATCTTCTAACAGCCCTCCTTGCTTTTGCCATCTAACAGGATAGCAGGAACTAAGTTAACAATACTATGATCCTTTTACATCGGAGGCAAACGTATTTCCGTAACCACACTGCACTCTTTCTGCTCTATGTGAAAAGCTCTTGCCACCTATTCATTTTAGAAAAATATTTATTTTCAAGGAGACAAAATGTGAGCCCAGATCCTTTGATGCTAACATCATGTACAACAGACTAAGAGGAAGATGTAGTGGGATAAAACTTTCCAGGGTTTGTAATCTCTCAAGGTGGCCAAAGAAAACCCAGAATGTGCTCCAGGTATGTGGGAGAACAAAGGGAAGGCCTCTCCCTACTGGTCTTTTTCTAAAACCAGATGAAGAAAAGGTGGCTGAGGACTTGGCTGGGGCCACCACTGAGTGGTCAGGTGATGCCTCCTCTTCAGGTCCTGGCTTTCAGCTGGAAAGTCTGGTGCTGTCAACTTTTGAGAAAATGCAGACTGCAATTCAATTTGGACTCACCACTAGAAAACAGAGTTATCTGTTGAAAGGATGTAGGTCGCACCTGCTATAACCACCAACACAAGCCTGTTACATTGCAGGCATTTCATACTATCCATCAGATGAACACATTGTTATATCATTATTCCTCACATGATTGAAAGTTATAAGAATATCACACATGTAAGCAAAAGGTAACCATTTGAAAATTTGTATAATGAATTCATTTTTTTAAATTTAAATTTTATTTTTTTCACTGTGCATGTTTATGAGGTACAGTTTGTTGTTTCAGTACATGCATGTATTGCATAATGATGTGATCATTATACAGAATAGTTAGCATATCTACCACTTACACATTTATCATTTCTTTGTGGTTATAACATTCAAGATCCTCTTTTCTGTTTATCTTGAAATCCCTTCTCTTTTAAATTTATTTTTCTTAATTGTCCCATGATAATTGTATATATTTATGGAGTACAATATGATATTTGGGTACATTCATTCTGTGTGCAGTGATGATATCAGGGTGCTTAGTATATCCATCACCTCAAACATTTGTCACTTCTTTGTGTTAGGAACATTCAACATTATCTAAAGTAGCTATTCAAAGATACACAACTATAGTATCCCTATGTTGGTTTAGAACCCTACATCCCACTCTTCCTAATTCTCTAATATTTGGTATCTGCTGACCACCCTTTCCCTATCCCTTCCTTCCTGTTCCCCCACCAGTCTCTAGTAACCACTATTCTACTTTCTACTTCTATGAGATTAATTTTTTTAGCTTCCACATAGGAGTGAGAACATGTGTTATTTCTCTCTCTGTGCCTGGCTTATTTCACTTAACATTATTTTCTCCAAGCTCATCCATGTTGCTGCAAATGGCAGATTTCCATTGTTTTTTTATGGCTGAGTAGTATTTCATTGCATATATATATATATATACTACATTTTCTTTATCCAGTCATCTGTGGAAGGATGTTTAGGTTGGTTCCAGTTCTTGGCTATTGTGAATAAAGCTGTGATAAACATGGGAATGCAGGTGTCCCTTCAACTTTGTTCCCATAATTTTGGATGTATACCCAGTAATGGGATTGCTGGATCATACAGAGGGGGAAAATACAAATAAAAAGCCCCTGAACACTCTGAAATAAACAACAAACTCAAGAACCAAAGGCCTAAATATTATAAAAACAATGCATAGTAGAAGAATCTCCTGACCAATGGCAATGTCTCTAAAAGGTGACTCTTTAGATGTGAGTCCAGAAGTGTAAGAAGTGTAGACAGAAGAGAAGTAGTGATGATATCAGGGTACTTAGAAATAAAGTTCTACTGTAGTTATTTGAGAAGTCTCCATACTGTTTTCCATAGTGGCTGTACTAATTGCATTCCCACCAACAATGTATAAGAGTTTGTTTCTCTTTCTTTCTCTGCATCCTCACTAACATTTGTTATTTTCTTTTTGATAATAGCCATTCTAACTGGGACAAGATGATCTTATTGTGGTTTTGATTTGCATTTCTTCGATGATTAGAGATGTTGAACATTCTTTCATATGCCTGTTGGCCATTTGTACGTCTTCATTTGAAAAATGTCTTTTCAGTTCCTTTGCCTGTTTTTTAATCAGATTTTTTTTTTTTTTTTTTTTTTACCATTGAGTGCTTTGAGTTCTTCGTATATTCTGGATATCAATCCCTTGTCGAATGCATAGTTTGCAAATATTTTTTTCCATTCTGCAGATTGTCTTTTTGTTCTGTTGATTGTTTCCTTTGCTGGGCAGAACCTTTTTAGTTTGATATAATCCCATTTGTTAATATTTGCTCTTGTTCCCTGTGCTTCTCAGGTATTCATAAAATCTTCGCCAAGATGTATGCCCTGAGGTGTTTCCCCTATTTTTTTTCTAGAAGTTTAATAGTTTTGGGACTTACATTTATGTCTTTAATTCATTTTAGGTTTATTTATAGACATGGTGAGAGATAGGGGTCTAGTTTTATTCTTCTGAATATTGATCTCCAATTTTCCCAGCACCATTTATTAAAGAGACTGTCCTTTCCCTAATGTATGTTCTTGGGTTCTTTGTCAAAAATTGGTTGGCTGTAGATACATGGATTTATTTCTGAATTCTCTTTTCTATTCTATTGGTCTATTTGTCTGTTTTTGTGCCAGTACCATGCTGTTTTTATTTCTGTCACTTTGAACTATATTTTGAAGTCAGAGAGTGTGATACTTGCCACTTTGTTCTTTTTGCTCAGGATTGCTTTGGCTGTTTAGGATCTCTTGTTGTTTTGAATTGTTTTTTCTATTTCTGTTAAGTAAATCATTGGTAGTTTGATGGGGATTGCATTAAATCTATAGATCACTTTGGGTAGTATAGTCATTTTGATGATATTGATTCTTCCTATCCATGAGCATGGAATGTCTTTCCATGTTTTTGCATTCTCTTTAATTTCTTTAATCATTGTTTTATACTTATTAAATTAATTTATTCTTTAATTGGTGTTTTATACTGATACTCTTTTTCATTGTAGAGATCTTTCACCTCTTTGGTTAAATTTATTCCTAGGTATTTAATTTTTTTCTTGCTTTCATAAATGGGAGAGCTGTCTTGATTTCTTTTTCTGCTTGTTTGTTGTTGGTGTGTACAAATGCTACTGATTTTTGTATGTTGTTTTTGTATTCTGCAACTTTACTGAACTTGTTTATCAGGTCTAGGAGTTTTTTTGGTAGAGTCTTTAAGTTTTTCTATATATAAAATCATGTCCTCAACAAACAGGAACAATTTAACTTCCTCTTTTCCAATTTAGATGTCCTTTATTTCTTTCTCTTACCTAATTGCTCTGGCTAGGACTTCCAGTACTGTGTTGAATACAAGTGGTGAGAGTGGGCATCCTTGTCTTGTTCCAGTTCTTTGGGGGAAGGTTTCAGGTTTTCCCTGTTCAGTATGATGTTAACTGTTGGTTTATCATATATAGCCCCAATTGTATTAAGATACTTTCCTTCTTTACCTAATTTGTTGAGAGTCTTTGTCATGAAAGGATGTTGAATTTTATCAAATGCTTTTTCTACAACTGTTGAGTCTATCATATGGTTTTTTCCTTTCATTCTGTGGAAGCGATATATTACATTTATTGACTTGTACATTTTGAACCATCCTTGCATCCCTGGGATAAATCCCACTTGATCATGTTGTATAATCTTTTTGATGTGCTGTTGGTTTCAGTTTGCTGGTATTCTAGTGAGGATTTTTGCATTTGTGTTGATTAGGACATTGGCCTGTAGTTTTCTTTTTTTGTTGTTGTTGTTGTCTTTGCCTGGTTTTGGTATAAGAATAATGTTGGTCTCATAGTATGAGTTTGGAAGAATTCCAAACACTTCAACTTTTTGAAATAATTTAAGAAGTATTTATATTAGTTCTTTAAATGTTTGGTAGAATTCATCAGTAAAGCCATCTGGTCCTGGCTTTTCTTTATTACTGATTCTTTCTCATTGCTTGTTATTGGTCTGTTTAGGTTTTCTATTTCTTGTTTCAGTCTTGGTAGGGCATACATGTCCAGGAATTTATCCATTCCCTCTAGGCTTTCATATTTGTTGGCATATAGTTTTTCATAATAGTCTCTAATGATCCTTTGTATTTCAGTATTATCTGTTGTACTGTCTCCATTTGCATTTCTGATTTTATTTGGGTCTCTTCTGTTTTTTCTTGGTCAGTCTGGTGGATGGTTGTTGATTTTTCTTTATCTTTTCAAAGAACCAGCTTTTTGATCAATTTTTTATTTTGTATTTTTAGTCTTAATTTTATTTATTTCTGCTCTGATTTTTATTTTTTCATTTTTTCTACTTATTTTGGTTTTAGTTTGTTCTTGCTTTTCTAGTTCATTTAGGAGCAATGTTAGGCTGTTCCTTTTGAAATTTTTCTTTTCTTTCTTTCTTTCTTTTTTTTTTTTTTGATGTGGGCATTTATTGCTATAAACTTCCCTGTTAACACTGCATTGGCTTTATTCCACAGGTTTTGGTATGTTGTGTTTTTGTCTTCATTAGTTTCAAGAAAGTTTTTGATTTCCTTCTTAATATCTTCTTTAACCCATTAGTCATTCAAGAACATGTTGTTTAATTTCCATGTATTTGTGTAGTTTTGCAAGTTCTTCTTGTTATTTGACATTTAGTTTTATTACATTATGGTCAGAAAAGATACTTGATATGATTTTGATTTTTCTGTACTTGTCGAGACTTATTTTGTGTCCTAACATATGGTCAGTCCTAGAGAGTGTTCCATGTATTGATGAAAATAATATGTATTCTGCAGCTATTGGATGAAACATATATGTCTATTAGGTCTGTCAGGTCTATGGTGCCATGTAAATATGATGTTTCCTTGTTGATCTTCTGTCTTGATGATCTGTCCATACTGAGAGTAGGGTGTTAAATTCAACATCTGTTATTGTGTTGGCATCTGTCTTTCCCTTTAGATCTGATAATATTTGCTTCATATATTTGGGTGCTCTGGTGTTGGGTGCATATGTATTTATAATTGTTATATCCTCTTGCTGTATTAATTCCTTTATCATTATACAGTGCCCTTCTTTGTCTCTTAGTACAGATTTTGGCTTAAAGACTGTTTTATCTGATATAAACATAGCTACTCCTGCTTGCTTTTATTTTCTATTTGCATGGAATATCTTTTCCTATCCCTTCACTTTCAGTGTATATGTGACTTTATAGGTAAGGTGTGTTTCTTGTAGACAGCATATGGATGGGTCATTTTTTTTTTTTTATCCATTCAGCCAGTCTTTGTCTTTTTATTGACGAATTTAATCCATTTACATTCAAGATTATTATTGATATGTGAGGTCTTACTCCTTTCATTCTGTTGGTTGTTTTCTAATAGTTTTGTGTATCCTTTGTTCCTTTCTTCCTCTCTTAATGTTTATCCTTGTGGTTTGATGGTTTCCTGTGTTGATACAGTTTGATTCCTTTTTCTAATTTGTATGTCCACATTAACAGTAAGTTTTATATTTTCAGGTATTTTCATGATTGTTTTTATTATTCTTTCTCTTCTATATGTAGGACTCCCCTAAGCATTTCTTGTAAGGCCAGTCTGGTGGTGATGAATTCCTTTAATGTTGGTGTGGGTCCTCTTCCTACCTTTTTGCCACAAGGGAAAATTCTTCCTGTGCCAATCCAAGTGTTGTGGGAGCTGAGGCCTTGTGCCTCTCTCTCCTCTCTGTGCCACCATCTTGGGCTTTTGTGCTCCACAGGGATCTCACTAGTGTCTTGCTTTACTCCTATGCTTCTCCACCAAAGCTCCTGTCTATATTTAGGCTGTTAGTTGTTCTGGTCCATTTCTGTGGAAGAAATGCACCCTGGCCACCCCTAGTCTGACATTTTGCCCCATGTCATAGTGAATTCTATTTGAACTCAAACAGTATTTGGAATAAAACTTGGCAGTGTTAATTTGTGTATGAAGATCATTTTCTAACAGCATTAGGTTTTTCCTAAAGGGTTTTCTTTTATCCTCCCCTCTTTGATTTAGGTTTTTGGGTCCAGATAGGAGTGGCATGGCCCTCATGGAAGTTAACCTACTCAGTGGCTTTACTGTGTCTTCAGATGCAATCCCTCTGAGTGAGACAGTGAAGAAAGTAGAACACGATCATGGAAAACTCAACCTCTATTTAGATTCTGTAAGTAGTAAAACCTAAGTTTCATGTAGATAACTATTGACAAAGCTACCATTTATTGTGTTCAGAAGTCTACCTTACTTTAAGTATGTTTTCTTTAAGTCACTGTTATTTCAGCTTTTTGAATGATTTTAACATGACAACCATATATTTGTCTCCACTAAAAAGATATCAGTATAAAATTGGTTTTGGAGAGTTACTATTAATGATGAGCCTGATGGAGATCTTGTTAACTAAATCATTAATTTACCCCGGATGTAAAATATATACAAATCACCATATTATAATTTCCAAAATTTAGCACAGATCTGAATTTGAGAACTCCTTTGCCTCAGAGAATTGCTAAATGATATTTGTTTAAATACTGAAGATGAAAGCTTTAATTACATGTTTTAAAATGCTTTCATGAAACTTAACAAATCCCAAAGAGGTTAGTATTCCTGCCTTGACAAGTTAGGTGCTTAAATTATAGAAGAATAGTCTCAGAAGTTTGGTCTTGACACAGAATTCCTTCATATACTCTTCCCATTGATGTATGAATACTACTGATTCAAGAATAAGGTGCATAAAATATGTGAGGGAAAGGTACATGAAGAATTTCAGACTCTACTTACGTTTCAGAACTGCTGTCATGTAAGTTTGTTCTTTTCTTTTATCATCTGTATGAAACTCATAGGTTGAATCAAAATTGAGTTCTAAGCATTCTTGGGATTTTGTATTACGTTAGGGGAATAAGTATGTTTTTATTACAGTTTTGCTATGTATGAATCAGAAATATATTGCTAAATATATACTTTAAAAAAGCTAGTTGTTAAGTGTTCTCATTTGTTTAAGTACTTCAAAAACCATTCTGGTTAAATCTTGGTAAAACTAATTCAGTGTCTGGATTCTTTTGCTGTTCAGAAATTTTCATATGTTGAATACCTCTTGAAAGCCATGAGCCTGATTTGGAACTTGAAAAACAAATTTAATGTTTTTACTTAATAGTATAGTTGGTTTTAGAGTTTGTCTTGTATCTCTGATGTTCTTCTTAATTGTTATCCTAATTTGAGTGTCCAATACTTCTTGACTGATGAAAGCCATGAGCCTGATTTGGAACTTGAAAAACAAATTTAATGTTTTTACTTAATAGTATATTTGGTTTTAGAGTTTGTCTTGTGTCTCTGATGTTCTTCTTAATTGTTATCCTAATTTGAGTGTCCAATACTTCTTGACTGATTAATTTGACTTTTCATTTACTGCTATTGGCAAGTAATGGAATGTTTGAAGGAATTTACTAATTTCAGATTCCTCAACCAGTATTGTCAGCCAAATTGGCATAGACTGTTTCTCCTGGAGGTAGGGAGGCTGGTTGTGGGGTGCAACTCCACCTTGGGGTTGTCTTACTTACTGGGTAAGGGGGTTCCTGTGAGTTGAGGAAGGGAATGTCTGTGAGCCATTAGCAGCAACTGGGGTTGGGGTGCACTGCCTGAGGCAGGGAATCTGGGTGACGCACCATGGGCTTGCTGCTTATCTAACTCTAATTCTCAATATTCCTTTTGGTAAAATGGAACTAAGAATAATACCTATCTTGTAAGGGTTATTTTACAAGTTAAATGAAATAGTCATAGAAAGTACTTATTGCACCTGGCATGTAGAAGTCCGCCCTAAACGTTAGTTTCTGTTTCCTAAAATAAGAAAAAGAATTGTCTTTTACTTTATCATGAACACCTAGTGAGCTAACCCCTTAAGAGTCTTTTGTATTTTTCAAGGTAAATGAAACACAGTTTTGTGTGGATATTCCTGCCGTGAGAAACTTTAAAGTTTCAAATACCCAAGATGCTTCCGTATCCATAGTGGATTATTATGAACCAAGTAAGTGTGCTCTGGAGTTCCTAATACTTTAGAAGTTGAGCCAAGTATGTATTCATTCATTCATTCATTTGTTCATTCGTTCCAAGTTGCTGCGAATTGAATTGGTTTGGGGGGGGAGTTGGTTGGTGAAAGTGTATGAGGTGGGAATGTAGGAGGTAAGCTTTCCATTTAAATAAAGACTGTTGATAATTTATAATGGTCACATGATAACATTTAGCATATGAATATTAAAAAGTGATATTTTTACTCATAATGTTTAGGTTTTTAACTTGTAATTGCAAACTTTACAAAGAAAAATTGACATAGATAGTCCAGTTATGTCCAGTTTCCAAGGTTTTGCTTCTATTCCAAGCACTCATTTCATCTGTTTCCTGTTCAAACCCAGGTTGAATAAATGGTTTTTAGATGCTATGTGCTCAATGTTTAAAACATTGAAACGAAGTTGAGCCAAGTATGTATTCATTCATTCATTCATTTGTTCATTCGTTCCAAGTTGCTGCAAATTGAATTGGTTTGTGGGGGGAGTTGGTTGGTGAAAGTGTATGAGGTGGGAATGTAGGAGGTAAGATTTCCATTTAAATAAAGACTGTTGATAATTTATAACGGTCACATGATAACATTTAGCATATGAATATTAAAAAGTGATATTTTTACTCATAATGTTTAGGTTCTTAACTTGTAATTGCAAACTTTACAAAGAAAAATTGACATAGATAGTCCAGTTATGTCCAGTTTCCAAGGTTTTGCTTCTATTCCAAGCACTCATTTCATTTGTTTCCTGTTCAAACCCAGGTTGAATAAATGGTTTTTAGATGCTATGTGCTCAATGTTTAAAACATTGAAATGAGGCATTGCATAGGTAGACTTCCCTTCGTACTTATGTAGTTTTAAATAAAGCCCAGGGTAAGTATCTTTTCACTCATTCTGACGATTAGAATTTTTTTGAATGCATAGGAAATATCTTAAAATAAACTCTTGAGAAGGTTAAACAATCCTCAATTTAAAATTTTTCCTTTTCCAGTAGGAGGTTAAAGCTGTTCTTGCAATAGCAGCTGAGGTGTTTGCTTGCCAGCCAAGTGTAGGAGGTAGATAGATTGGACTGAATGCTGAGAAATATCATTTCTGTCTTAAATTTGATTAGCAGTTTGGACCCCTCTTGAGCATTTCTGTTGTTTCTTGTGAAGAAAAATAAAATTATGTGAAGAAGGGAAAACTCAGAGAAGTATATCTAAATGCTCTTAAGTTTTGGCAAATTAAATGTTTCTGAACAAAGGAGATTGACGTCTGCCTCTTTGAACAGGGAGACACGCGGTGAGAAGTTACAACTCCAAAGCGAAGCTGTTCGTCTGTGACCTTTGCAGAGACATCCAGGGCTGCGGTCCTTGTGAGGCTGCAGCTTCAGTCTCCCTTCATCACTCTTCAGTCATTTTCATTTGCTGTTTCATGCTTCTGAGCTCTTTGCAGCATTGGCTGTGATTTATTTTTTAAGGACTTCATGTAACACTAACATTTCTAGAAACCACGTGTGATTGTTTTGTTTTCATAATCAGATATTGCTTCTGATTATTTTGAAAACAAATTTTTTTCTTTCTGTGGGACTGGGGGGCGGGGATGGTCCCAGTGTGTATAGCTGTGTAGGTTTCTTCACCTGACCTTTGTGTGGAAGATCAGAAAGATTGTAGTTGTACATCTGTATTTCCCCCTCTCAAAATCTTTTAGGATTTTTTTTTGGAGGTGCTTGTTTTCTTCAGAATAAAAGTGTTATTTTAGATTAGTTATTTTTCTTGTTTTGTAAAAGAAATGAGCTTTGGTTCTTAAGCCTTATTATATATCAATGTCTCTTTAGTATTAAGATGGATTTCCCTGGGAACTGGGGGAAAACAACACGCAGGAGGAGCTCGTTTTGTTTCCTTCCCACCTCCAACTTTACTGCCCATCCCACCCACCCCCAGTGGTCCGGTATATACTTCCTAACTGGACATTATGTCTTTTTTTTTAGAATGTAGATGGTGAATTTTTTTTATCCTCCAGCCCTACCATCCCTCTCTCTTTCTTCTGGAGAAGAATGAGGGGCGGTGTGTTTCCTGTGCTTTGCATGCTGGCTCAGAGGTTGAGAGCTCAGTGAAAACTGCCCGGTGGGTACTGAGTGTGCTCGCTCCGCTCACGTGCTCGGCCCCAGCGCTGTTGCAGGGGTGAGAGCTGGAGAGCACTGCAGCGTGCGCCTTCTGGGATTCACATGAGACAGTCCCAGACCAGGAGACACGGAGCCAGGGTACAATGATATTTCGGTGTGTAAGTCACAGCAGACTGACCTTTCTCTGGTCTGGGAGAGAAGTTGGGGTTGATGGGGATCGAGAGTCGTGACAGCCCTGAGACAGTGTTGGCCAGGGGTCCTGTAGAAACTCTTCTCGGCTTCCGCGTCAGAACTGCCAGTTGTCTAGTGATGTCTGATGCTTGCTGTGAATCTTCAAGAAGATTCTTGAATTCTGAGCACCTGGATCATACCTGGTGTTCTAAAGGGTAATATTCATTTATCTGATTGAGAATTTTAAAGAAAAATTCCTCTCTCCCTCCCTCCCTCCCTCCCTCCTTCTTTCTCTCTTTCAGTGTCTTTCTTTCCTTCCTTATTCCCTTTTCTTTCTTTTACTTTCCTTCTCCCTTTTTTCTTTCCTTTCTAAATATATTGAAATAATTTAGATATATAAAAAAATTGAGGACTTTTTACCTAATCTAAGAAATGGTTTAATTGCTCCTTAACTATGGCATTTCTCTCAAGTGAGCATGGAAAAAATAATTGCCATGGGCTCCAAAGAGTTTGCTTTATGATATTTTCGGCTATTTAAAAATAAATCTATCAAAAGTGAAGTATGCAGATATATCTCTTAAAATTAATTTTTAAAAGAGTGGTCTTATTTAAGTGAATTTTAAGAAATTACAGTGGAGTGGATGTTCATATACTGCTTATGGGTATTTTGGATACCAAGATCGGAATAGCCAACATTCAGTACGTTACCACTTACAGCGACCTAGTGTGGAAAATAGGTCCTCAGAGAGTGGTCCACAAAGAGAGCAGTTAAATATCACATACATAATTTTCTTGTATTTATTTTTAAGTTGGAAAAAGCTTTTAGATCTGTTACACCTTTGAAACAATCTATTCTAAAAAAGACACTTGTTCTGTTTAGGCTTCTCTGTAATGGTGTTTTTGGCCTTTATATTCTGTTTATTTTTATTTTTTATTTTTTTTTAAAAGATGACCGGTAAGGGGATCTTAACCCTTGACTTGGTCTTGTCAGCCCCACGCTCTCCCAAGGGAGCTAACCGGCCATCCCTATATAGGATCCGAACCCTTGGCCTTGGTGTTATCAGCACTGCTCTCGCCCAAGTGAGCCACGGGCCGGCCCCTTTATATTCTTTAGAGGTGAAATCGTCCTATAATGAAGTCGTGGGAAGGTGTTGGCAAAGGGTGCCCCCCTCCTCTGCCCTGCCCAGGGAACCTTATACTGACCATTAATACCTTACATTCTCCAGTAGATAATTTATATTGATCTTCTAGAGTAATATATTAGGAAACACTGGAATGAAAAGCCCATTGGAAGACAGGTCATATCTTCTTTTAGACCATATTTCCTTATTTAAAAACTAGAATTTGAGTTCTTTTTTGTGAAGTATTTCAGATTTTCAGGTTAAACGTCACCTTGTAACTCATTTCTTTTTCTGAATGTATTAAAAATGAAGAGGAGGAGGAGGTGAGTTAGCACTGCTGCACGGAGCATGGGGTTGTGGAGACGTCCTGGGCTCTTCCTCTTTCACATCTCTCTTAGAGAACTTGCTCTGCTACAGGCTTGGATTGAAAGTGGTTAAAAAGCCACAGGCATAAGGAGAAAAGGACATGTAGTATAATAATTATTACAATTAATTAGTGGTATAGATTATTTACATGCTATGAGTAATAATTTTAAAAAACTCATTTTACCTTTAAGTTTGCTTGTGCTGAAACTCATCCATCTAGAATGATGTCAATTTTATTTGCTGGTATTAAACTAATTTAAAGCCCCCCTTTTCCACTGACTGGGAACTAAGACCAGCATATCTCACTCTCATTTTTGACTGGCCAGTGGTACCAGAGACTGAATGTTGGAAATAACTAGTAGCTAAACAATTCTAGGCCAGAACAACACTTCTGTATTTGGTTTCATTATCTTCCTTTAGTTATAGTTCTAAAAAAGAAATTAAAGCCCATTAAAATGTGCCCAGTCAATGAAATGTTTCCTTTTACTGTGTTGTTAAATTGCACTTCGTTTTTCAAAATATTGTAAAAATAGTATATTTGATTTAATATTTTGGTTATAGTATAATCTGAGGAGCATTGTGCTCATTACTACAGATGCACATCTGTTGCCTAGAAATTTGTCATTTATATATGTGATGCCATGTTCTACACACGGGAATTTTCAGAATTGTAGATAGCATAACTCTCCCTGTTTACATTCTTTTGAGCCTGGGTATAGTTATTTTTTTAAAAAAGTCATATTTAGCCTTAATTTCTTTTTGTAATAAATATAATTATAAGTAGTCTGGCAATATAATGCCAACCATCTTTATTTTGACATTTCATTTGACATTTTGGCTGTCCCATGACATTAAAAAAAACTGAAACTACGATTTTTGTCATTTTTTTTAAAGGGCTATTTTATTAACCTGCTGGTATATAATATGGAGTTCTTTGTAACAACCTTGCTTTTTCTAACTTGCTTTATTGAGCTATTGAATACTTATTTCTACAAAAATATGTTGTAAATACTCCCTTGGAAAGATTTCACAACATAAGGGCAGGAATTATTTTGAGTCTTCCAAGTGGTTACCATGGGTCAAGGTACCATTATATATTCTGGCTGCATCGTTTTCTTGCAGAATTGTAAATTTAAATTGTAAATTTAAGACACTTATAGTAAGTGTACTCCTGGATAAGCTTCAGAACCTTTTACATTCTCAGTAGAGGCTCTCATTAGACAGGCAGAAGAGTATATTCCTCATTTTTCTTTGTTTTCAAATTTCAGTAAGGCATAGCACTTTTAAGAACTTAAATTTTTCTTAACATCTATTCAGATGATATTTATGTTAATATTAAATATCTAAAGTTACATTGGGAGTAATTAGAGGTACAATTATTTTTATAACTACTTTGAATAGAGGACCATTATCCTACTTTCTTAAGGAAACGAAGCAGTAAATGTAACTTTTTAATTAATTAAGTATATATCAATGAGAGTGGGCTTGTTTTGAACTATGTCTAGCCAGTGAGTTGGTTGCCTCATCAAAAGACAGTGCCATATTGCATTGTTCCATAAAATACATTGTCATTTTCATTTCAATTTTAACACAGGAAAATAGATATTTCCTAGATGATTTCTGAGTTTCTCACTTCAAAGCACACTTATACATTGGTATGTGTGTGTCTCTGTAATGGGGATGATACTGATATATGTGTACATATTTAAGAATCGTTCTATCTCATGTTGTCGTGAGGCTGAAATTTGCCACTCTTCTGCCCAGTGTATTGAATATGTGGTAGAGGGTAGTTCCATTGTTCCATTTGTAGATCTTTAAGATTTATCTTTGATAACCTCATTGGAATATGGCTTGATTCTGTTCCTTCAAGCCTTTATGTTTTAGATTTTAGTAGGGTGCAGTTAATGTGGAGTCAATCTTTTTTGTACACAGGAATCTTTATAAATTTCATTCCTAAATATCCTATTGTGGGAAGCTGTTTTGCATATGAGAAATGTACTGTTGAAATAAACATCATTTTTCCAGGAACTAAAGCTTTATATATTGATCAAGTTGATTCTGAAAGTTTTAATTTTAAATGTTGGACTGTTATATTATTGTTAATTCTATTTTATTATGGATTCAATAGAAAACCTTGATTTATCAATAAAAATTAGAATTCTCATCTGTTATCTGTGTTCTTTTTATTTTAGCTTAAAGCATGTCTATAGCACATCTCCCTTACTTAAACTTATTTATGAGAAGTAGGATGTCTGTGGGTAGGTTAGAATAGGCATTATTGTGTTCCAAAGGCTCGACATGGGTGAGGTTTATGAAATTTGACCACCAACCCCCTTTACCTCCCTCCTCATTCTTTGCTCTAGGAACTGGGGCGCAGTTGGTGGAGAGGTAGGTGATATACAAATAAAAAATTAATTAATGTGAGGTGATCACTCACTGTACTTCTGAAAATTGTATAGAAATACAAAATGCATAGTTTGTGTACACACAGGAAAATGGAGGCATTCATCACTGCACCACTGCATCTGGAGTGTAACACTTTAGGTATATTTTCTTGATTCCCACACAATATATATATATATATAAATTGTTCTCAATTGGGGGTGCTTTTGTCCCTGGGTGACATTTGCTGATGTCTGAAGATAGTTTTGATTGTCACAACTGGAGGTGGTGCTATTGGTGTTGAGTGAATAGAGACTGAGAATGCTGCTGAACACCCCACAATGCACAGAACAGCCCCTACAACAAAGAATTATTCAGCCCCAAATATCAAAAATGTCAAGGTTGAGAAACCCTCTAGCTAAGTGATGCTAGACAATTCTAGATCATCTTGTAATGTCAATTAACTTAATATGATTAATTTAATGCATCCTTGCTGAACAATAGAGTCATTAGAATTGCTGAACTAGACTAATTTAGATTAGCAAGTAAGTCTACATCCCAAGTCTAGGAAACAACCTGGAGACTGGTAANTGAGAAACC